CCTCCACAGCTCACAGTGCAGAGAGGTCTGCCTTCCTTTGTCTTATCCAGGGAGCATTTCTGCCCAGAGGAAAGCAGATCTTATGGCTGCATGTGGCAGACTGCACTGGGAAGTCCCTCTCTGAGTGATACACCAGAAAAGGACCAGGTGTGCAGTACTGTCTCCATGTGGACAGAAGAGCAGTGTGCCTTACACTTCTTTTTCCCATTTCTGCATGCTCATGTCTCTGGGGTGCAGAAATGACCAAACAGGTGCTTGGACTGAAAGATCAATAGCACAATCAACCATTAAATACATGAAACCTGCAAAAACAGGTAATGGATCATATGACGGAAATGATCGTATAACAACTTATTGATTAAGTATAATGAAGGGCATATGCAATGCTCCAATAAATGTTTGTACAGTAGGAGGGGAGCCAGTGTATATGGCAAACATAATAAGAAGCTTACATAATAATACATAGGGGAGCTCTGCATAACCAACTGCTGTATGTGATAATCACGTGCAGGACAGTGCATATTTTTAGGACGAGTGTGCGAGGGAATAAATTGGAGGAGGAAGATGGGGGAGGGTGGGGTTTCCCAGAGGAGGAAGAGTGTTTAGGGAAAGGAGTCGGGGAAGGAGGATGAAGTTGGTAGGATGTTCTCATCGGTGTCTGGAGGAACATCCTGCTCAGGGCTAACTGCGAGTCTTCCCTTTTAGACACCATGGAAAATACCTTCATTAGTACACATAGAACATCAGAAAGTGTTTCCAAACTGCAGGCTGGTTACACTACTTCTGACTTGATACCATGCCAAATATTCAGAGCACTGGGACCTGCGCTCAGAAAGATGTTGAAGTGAAAAGTCCTCTTTTTAAATTTACGTAACACATGAATAAAATAGAATTAATTTATTAACAGCAAATGCACATTGGGGTTTTGAATATATATGTACAGTGGACAATTTCTGTAATTTGTATGAACCAAGGTTTATTTTTCATATTATTGGTCTGAAGACCGATGGCGTGAATTAGTCTTTTCATGTATTTTTATTACCCTGTCACTTTCTGCATCATCGGCTAAGTTAGTGTTCACATGTGCTCTGCTGGACAGCCTAGGCCTCTGTCCTGCTGTTCCCATCACTCTCAGTCCTGACTGAATGGGCTCCATCAGCCCAGCAGGCTGCTGTTGTACTTTCTGATTTCATAATGCTGAGGCCAGATAAAATAGTTCGCTTGAAAATGTCCACATTTTATCCATGCAGCTTTCTCATCTCCATAAACAGGATTAAGCCTGATACACGAGCCTATTCCATCACAAGTTTAGGCAACAATTCACTCAAAAGCACTCAGTCATTACAAGCTAAATCAAAACTAAGATCACCTGATTATTTTAAATGATCAAATTCTGAGTCATTGTCTTTATCAGGAGAATATGGCAACATTTGATAATGATGTTATTGGATTTGTAAGGATTCAAACTTGAAAGAAAAATATGCTGTATATAAACTGTTATTATTAATGTATTAGAAATATAATGAATATTGTGTTCTCTGTAACAGTCCAGCACTCTCTGTGTCCTGACAAGCTAGTTATCAGAGTCTATCTTCACTGATGTGCAGTGTGTGACTCTTTATGTCCCATTATAACTGTTGTGCTGTTGCTCCCTATAGCAGTAACTTCAACTCTTGCAATGAAACTCAGTACCTACTCCGTCTGATGTGAGAACCAACAGTCTCTTCTCTGCTGCCATGAGCTGTTCAACAGTGCTTATAGGACCTGCTGCAACAGAGCTTGCAGCTTGCCAAGCTCTGAGTGTTATTGTTGACTTCTCCAGAATCTGTAATTGGTACATGTCTGAGGCATTGAAGCATCCCCTGAGCATGATGTTGCCACCACCAAGACTGACTATAATGATGGTGTAGACTGGGAGATGGGCTGTGTTGGGTCTGTACCAAGCATAATACTTGGCATTTAGATGAAAATGTTGCAGTTTGGTCTCATGTGTCCACAGCACCATTTGTTCCGATGTTTCAGCATCAGTCTGGTGCTTTGTCGAAAACTCCATGCGGGACATGAGATGGGGTTTCTACTCTGCCATACAGGTTTGTGACTGGGATGTTGTTAACTGATTCACATGTTCCCCAGCTGTTGAACTGTCTAAACTCCATTAAACTCTTTCAAAGTTGTCTTTGGCCATACAGAGGTGTCCCTCACCAGCTTCCTCCTTGTCCAGCTGCTCAGTTCGGCGGGACAGCCCGATCTAGGCAGTGTCTGGGTGGTAAGATGCACCCTCCACTTCTTGATGAGTGACTAGACCGCGCTCACAGGGATGTTCTGACCTCTCCTGATCTGTCCTTTTCAATGACGTTATCCCTGACTTGTTTTGAAAACTCCTTGGTCTTCGTGGTTGAGCCTTTGCTTGACATTCCCTACCTGACCAAGGAACCTCACATAAACAGTTTTTTTACTCTGAACTCATGTGAACCACTATTGATACACACAGATAGGGGCCACTCAATTAATTGTGTGGCTCATCAAGGGGGTTTTGCATACCTATATTAATTTAGGGTTTGACAACTTATTCAATCCTGACTTTTCTATTTTTCTTTTTTCCATTATCTATTTACTTATTTCTCTTGTGTATTGATTCAAATGTGTGGAGTAGGTTTTGTACATAAATATTAATATGAATATAAATATTAATTAATATTAATATAATAGTGCCATGACTACAAGCTTTACAGTAGCAAATGTGAAAACTGTGCAAAGATATGAATATTTTCGATATGAATCGATATGAACAAAGCACAATATTTATGTGTTAAGTGCACTTGGACAGCATGTTAAATGTTATAAAATAATGTGAAAATATAATTTATTCAAATATACACTACACTATGTGCACAGGTTCATTATATCTGTAGTTTTAAATTAGAAGGGGATGTTTCAAACCTAATTAATATGATTGTATCTTAACACTTTGCTGAGAGGATTAGCAGTCCTTTACTGTTATTCTGCTGTTTGGCACTGAAATATTGGCCAGGATGACAGCTTTTGAAACAGAAGGTGAAACTAGGAGGATTGAAAGGGGATGCATTTTCACAGGTTAACTAGGTGAAAAAGCTCCCTGGAATGTGGAATTAGGAGAGCATTTCCTGTTTTCTTCTGGGCTGTGAATAAGGAAGGAAGTTGGGTTCTGTTCAGACATCCATGCAGCCTGGGTTCCTGTAAAGGAAAAAGCTAAACAGCCAGGAAGCTGTTTACAAAGTGGTTCAGTAGTGTACTGTATTGTGAGTCAGTGAAGAGGACTGCTTGGAATGGTATATGATTGAATTCGCTGTGCGCAGAAGGAGATACCTGTGTGTTGAACTAGCTGAGCATGCTCCTGATTTGCTTTGACATTTCAGTGCACTACCAAGGGCTATGCCAAGGGCTATCCCTCTCCTGCTGCACCCCAGAGCTCTGGACTTCTATCCCGAAGGGCACCACAGAGTCACCTTTCCTGGCCGCTTTCAAATCCAGAATCAAAACCTTCTTTTTCAAAAAGCCTTTTATTTAATTGACGTCGGTGTCTGCTCCTTGCATATTCAACTGTGTTTGTTTTTAATTGTGCAACCCTGTTATATCTTAGAATTGTTTTTTTCTTACGGTAAAGTGCTGTGAGAATCTACTTTTAAAGGCACTATATTAAAATTATAATTATAAATAAAATAAAGTTCATCCAGCCCCAGAATAAATCTTCATATTGAACAGATGTAAAATTTTAAATGATTAAAAAAGCATCCTTAAACATGTTATAGTTAGAAAAAAGATGTACAGGTACTCCTCTAAGTACAAGTATCTTACATTCTAAATATTACTTAACAGCTCCTGGCAGCCTGAATACAGTAGTATGTGATGTACTTGGGGAGTGAACTAATAGGTGAGCTGGGAAGAGCCAGTCATGTGACATCAGGCCAGTAGCCCTTACTACTAGGTCAGCTAATAACTAGAACACAGTGCGTCTGTAACTTAAGGCACGAATGAGCCAGTGCGGTCATACAGTACAGTACATGTTGACTTGAACGCTTTAAACCACGTCGTGACTGTGGAGAGATTCTCCCTCCGTCTCTCTCCTCTCCGCCAATGAAACGCGCTTGTTATAAGAGAGCATGTTTTGCCAATAAAATCAAATCGTGGATTTTTCCAATGAATTAAAAAGAGAATTAGTTTAATGCTAAATAGGAAGGTACTGTATCTATAAATTAATTTGGATTATTTTTTATCTTGTTCATGTGCGACCATGCTTTTCTCAGATTAATGGAATTTAAAACGACATTTCTTGAGGGACCAACTAAATCCAATAAGACTCAGCTGTCAGTAATTTGCAATCCCTGTTGACGTCACTTAAAACATAAATACTAAACGTCATCCTTCTTTCCCTCGCTTACGTCTTCTTGAGTCCCATCTCCACTTGTGCAGCTGCTCGTTGGTCACTCCTCTCTCTCTGCAGGCAGGGGGGGGACCAGCCTCCTCCTTCTGTGGCCAGAAGGTCAGTCCTCAGCCAAACTTTTAATAAAACACTACATAATCCTTTCGGTACGCCCAGTTCCTGGGTGGTGGTGTTCTTAGTGAATCAATTTTAGTGGCGCTTAACAATTGACATTATTGCGATTCACATTTGAAACATTTTGTTCCTTGGAACACTTCACTTCTTTCCTTTTTGAAAAACAAGTTTCCTCGCACTCGCCTTTCTGAGTAGACAAGAAGGGAGCCCGTATGTTTCCTGCCAGCCTCTTGTTACCGCCCGGAGAGCGGACACTGAACTGTGATACCTTTTCATGTGGTTAGGATCATTTGTAGCGTAAAACAAAAAGTAGGCGCTTTCCCATTTCGAAACGAGAAAGACATAAACATGCAATTGTATTTGTATCGAGCCGCGCAGAAGTGAGCCACACATTTTGCGCGATGATTTACAGACGTGAACTCTGAGCTGACAGGTTGCGCGATCTGTGGGGACTGATATACCCGTGCACGTGACGGTTTGTTAGTGCGCGTCATTCGCGTCCCGGCTCTCGCCTGCTTATTTGTCCTGTCCGCTTCCCAGTTTGCAATATTAGAAAATTAAGACTAATCGAGAGGCTGAGCGAAATAAAAAGACCAGCTCGCGAAAGGCTCACCCCCAAGTTTTGTTTCTAGGAAGGGATTTCAATTTGAGCGCAGCATGGCTGGATTGATGGCAGGGTTTGGCAACTTCACTCACGCGGTTGTGCGAGAGATTCCCGCATCCTTTGCCAAAGAAGCACTGAGGACGGGCAGCGCGGAGGTGGACCTGGCCAGGGCTCACAGAGAGCACGAGCTCTATGTCGGGGTGCTGAAGCACCAGCTCGGGCTTCAAGTGCTCCAGCTGCCCGCCGATGAAAGTCTCCCAGACTGCGTGTTCGTGGAGGATGCAGCCGTGGTGTGTGGAGACACGGCGCTCATAACCAGACCGGGGGCACCCAGCAGAAGGAAAGAGGTATTGCATTGTTAGTGCAAGACCTTAGAGAGCTCTGAGAGGAATAGCATGCAACTGTGCTGTCTAGCCATTGCTTAATAAATAGCGCTTTTTATGAAGTGTCAAGTTCTCTGCCTGACGGAGTGAGCCAAATGTTTATCTGAATGACTCTAAAGCCTTATGATTAACCGTGTGGGGTAGCACTTCTTTTGTTGCATATTGTATAAGGGTTTGTGTTTCACAGACAACGCCCTTTGAAAGACAGCAGGACCTGGTCAACAACGGGTTAAGACATGACAGTTGACTGACCGAGTTCATATCAGTATCTACTTCCTTCAGGGGGAGAAGAAGCGTTCTCTGTCACTGTTCTTTAATGGCGCGAGTAGAAATACCGGTTGTAGAAATCGATAAAATGTATAAATTTCTTTGTTTAAAACGTTCTCAGGTGTGTTTTCACTTACTGTAGCTCCGTCTGGATGAGACTTTGACAGCGCTCGGCTGTCACAGAGACGTTTTAGTCTTGAGCCTCCCAATATAGAATACCAATTCCAGGGGCTTCACAGCAAAGTTATGCTTATAGTACTTATGCAGTAAAGAGGAGGGGTGCTTGTAATCAGTATGACCTCGTTCAAAATTATTTTTGTTTGACAAATATTAAGTTGCAGGAGCGCATGGTTTAAGTCCCGCACGTGTTTCCACACCGTACAAGACAAGCGGTCAGTCTTTTACTCGGAACCGCTACTTTGTGTCGTCTTCGCTTACACACTTGAAAGCAGCAATAAAAATACACATTTCCTTGTGAAAACATGCAGAGATCGGACAGTGCTCCGTTAGGATTGTGAAGACACTAACAATGTCCATCAGCGACTGTCGTGTGGCCCACTGACATGTTTTTGTTTTGAGTAGAACAAGATGTTTATCAAAGTGGAGGACCAGTGAGTTACCTTTAGACTTTTAGTGCCATTGCGCGTCCTTTTCGAGGAGGAATTTCAAATGTGAATGAATTGGTAGTTCGCTTAATAATTAAAAATATGCAGTAATGTCAATCACACACCACAATGTCTGCTAAAATATGTAGTATTAACATATTTAAAAATACTTAATTTAGTATAATTTCTGTTAAGATTTGATTAGACGCATACACTCTAATACAGTTGTCTTATTGCTTTCTTATAAAAGAGCTGCAAGATAAATGGAGCTTGTCATATTTGCCTTAATTTGTGCGCTGGACGATACTATGAATAGATTTTTCTCCTAGCCGCTGAACTGTCTTGTGGAAGGTGCTGTTTGAACAGAGCCCTGTCACATCATGTTACGGCCAGTTACACTGAGCTCAATTCTGCTGGTAGAGCTTGCTCCAGACAGGCTGAAAGTGGTTACACATCCCATAATTTTTGCCACTAAAGGGGTGAATTTTTAAAAACTTTTCAGAACGATCAGAATAAACAGTTGTGGGTTGTATGGTCTTTGGTTATCATGTTTCACAATGCAATGAATGAAAAGTCATGAGTGGCACACACTGAAATTCTAACTGCAGTCAAATACACATGAGTACTATGCTAATTCATTAATTTAATGTTGCCCTTTATCTTTCTTTGGGCAGGAGTCATTTTAAAACTGAAGTTGCAGTAATAGAGAAATTATCACAAAGCTGGTAACTCTATCGAGTGAGGGGGCAGCTTTTCTTTAAACTGGCCAGCAGCCATATCACCCTGCAACTCACAACTGGCACCCCACTGAAGCTCAGCAGGTGTGAGCCTGGTCAGTACCTGGATGGGAGACCTGGGAAAAACTAAGGTTGCTGCTGGAAGTGGTGTTAGTGGGGCCAGCAGGGGGTGCTCACCATGTGGGTCCTAATGCCCCAGTATAGTGACGAGGACACTATACTGTAAACAGGCGCCGTGCTTCAGATGAGACGTAAAACCGAGGTCCTGACTCTCTGTGGTCATTAAAAATCCCAGGGTGTTTCTCGAAAAGAGTAGGAGTGTAACCCCGGTGTCCTGGCCAAATTTCCCATTGGCCCTTACCAGTCAGGGCCTCCTAATAATCCCCCTCTATGAATTGGCTTCGTTACTCTGCTCTCCTCCCCACTGATAGCTGATGTGTGGTGAGCATTCTGGCGCACTATGGCTGCCGTCGCATCATCCAGGTGGGGTTGCACATTGGTGGTGGTGGAGGGGAGTCCCCATTTCCAGTAACATTTTGAGTGGAGTGTCTGGAAAAGCAGTACATAAGTGTAAGCAATTATTAATTATTATTATAATAAACTGAGGCTGTCTTTACAGTCCTATAAGAAGCGGTTCTACTTCTAACTAGCTCTTTTGAGCTTTGAGATGATTCCTGCTGCCTTCAGGGCAGCTGGGCGCCTTAAAGGACAGGTTGTTCAAAAACCTGGTAATTGTGTTACAGGTTGCAGTGGTTAAACTTTAATTTGTATTTGCCTGTTTTTTGTGAACTTATGTACTGGGTATCACGTGCTTCTAATCCAGCAAGATGTGATCCTGGTTAGTGCACAAAGATGCAGTGGCTGAGCTGTACGTATTTCTCACACTTTGCATTATCTTTTAGACAAATTGCACATGCAAATGTCTCCTCTTTAGAATATAGATTTTCTCCCTTCTTGGTCTTTAAATTTGGAGTCCCATACTTCTTGTACTGTAGATTTGCTATTGCCAAATACTTCTGGAGTCACCTCAAAAATCACTTCAACAGTAACAGTAAAGGGGGCAAGTGAGCAGAAGGCCAAAGACAACAGATGCATCTTTACTTTGGTCTCTTCAAAAAAACATATTTGCGCAAATCTGGGGGAAGAGAGTGTGGAACAGCTGGAAGAGCCCTTTCCAAGCTTGGCTTTCAGAGGTGGCGAAAATATGCATCTGCTGGTCTCAGGACAGATGGAAACACATGAAGAGAAGCTATCAGGGCCACTGTTTTGAAGTGGTGGGAGGGTCAGGCCCTCAGTGTGACCTGTAACCTGATTAGATGAGGCTGACTTTGAGTGAGTGTTTTCACATGGTCTGAAACACTTCACATGCTAAATTCAGGACAAATGTTTCTTGTCCACCATTGTGATTTGGTATCGAAAACTATTCAAATTTTTAGAGTTAGGCCTGATTGGATTCCTTATAAATCAAGAAAAAAATGTAAAGAAAAAGTAAAAGTGTAAAGAGCTCAATAAATTGTCATTGTGGATTTATTTTTAGGCCTGAAGCTGAATAATATAGGCTGAGTGGAATAATATACTGTACCATTTGGTTCAATTTAATTTTATTATATTGTGGCCGTTCTAATTTATAACTAAAAAGTTTTTTTTTAGTTATAAAAAAGGAGCTTGTTTGGTCTACATTCAGGTGAACATAAATTAAATCTAGCATGGGGCCATCAGTGTGCTACAAGTTAAATTCAGCAAAACATGACTCATCCCATATAAGAAAAAAACCTTACAGAGTAAAGCCATTTCCTATGCATTTGAATTTTAGGAGCTAAATGAATTACTAGTAGGAAACCAGCGAGGAAGTGAATGACATCATCTTTGGAAAAGCTTATGTGCACTTCTGCTTTCCTGGGAGCATTTGCTTTTTAATGCAGAAGAGCTTTACATTATAATGCTTTTACCTTTTCAATGTATGTTAGGAACTGCAAAACTACATACTGAACACAAACTATAAAAATACTTTATTGTGGGAAAATAAATTAAATGTAATTATTTATATATTGCAAGCAACCATATTCATTATCAGGTGATCAAGTCTTTGCTCTGCCCTGATGTACAGTAGCAACTCTGCTCACCAGTGTGATTATGTTCTTCAGTCCTATAAGCAAAGCAATCATTTACTAGGAGCATACAGTTAAATAGGCCAAGAGCTTTTCAAATCAGAAAAAATATATTTTTTTGTTTAGCAACCAGTGAAATACTTAATTCATTGAACAATTGTTTTATACCCACAGAAAGTCACTTTGCATTCCACCAAGTAAAACAGCGTAAGTCTTCATGTGAATTGCTTCTGTACAGTATGTACAGTACTGCTGTACATGAAGAAACTAATGTGGTGATTTAATTAAGATGGGATTTTCTGCACATGCTTTATGATAGAGAAGGGGGGCTGCACACAATATTAATCCTTTTCACTTAAGTTGGTTTCCCTCCTGAGCTTTCTCCCTAAGGTTTTCCCTTCCCTAAAGTACCGTTTTAACAGAAAAATAATATAAATAGAAATCTTTATTTTGGTGCCTTTCATGTTACATCATCAAAAGTTCCTTTAAAACAAAAACAAAAATCATTGCACCTTAAAAAAGCAAGGTCTTTGTGTCAAGATGAAGCTAGGATGTGTTGTCACATGTCAAAGCTACTGAAAGTAGACATTCGCGATTATCAGGAATGCCCTCTGAGATAACATGCGGTAAAATTGCTAAAATTAGAGGAAGATATCAACATAACACACTAACATACAGAGACACTGTGGTGTAAGAGGTTTGCAGAGTCTCCAGAGATAGACTTGGATCTAAATGAATAGGCTCTGTATATTAAGATTACAAAATGTGTTTATGCTATATTTTTAAAGACCTCTGTTTCTGTTCTGGGCTCAATGCATTTGGTCATTTTTAAATAATTTCAACTTGGTCATTTTTTACTTTGTTTTTCAGGGTAAATTCACAAATATTCAAAGTGAGAGGCAGTACATTCTTTTGCCCAGTCTTTATCTTCAATATCATGCAGTAGATATCATAGATATAGATACTTAAGTTCTTGTGCCACAGTGGCTATACTGAAAGTTTAATTAGAATTACTGGCTTTTTTTAATTTGGAGATACCAGTTGTTTGTCTAATAGTTGTCTATTTTGCGCCTGATTTGTTTTTGGTCTGAGTCTGAAAACAAATAAAAAAAAAAACCCAGAAACAGAAACGAAGAGATAGTGGATTAATGTGAAACTCAGGAGAGACATTAATTTATTAAATCAGGTTAGTACAGGGTAAGGAATGTTTTAACCCATATTTCAGGTGTCAGAAGCAGCCGGGGGGT